AAGAACAGGCAGCCGAAGATTCCGTGGCCTAAATTAATTCTATTTTATCCCCAAGAATAATGAAGGCAATAGCCAGAAAATTTCCATTGCATCTGGGTAAATAATCACAAGAGAGAATTATAGGAGTCTCAATAATTGTTCACGGGTTTATTTCCTTGAAGGCATGTCTTATTCTGTGCTTCTCTTGCTCCTGAGATAGAGGGTTGCTCGAGATAGGGGTTCCATCAACTTTTGTTAAACGTGTTGATTTATTTATTTGTTGAATATCTAATTATCTATTGGCCTGTGACTTTATCTACTAAATATTCCCTGTCTACTTTGTCTTTCTAAATTGCACCCATTGTTCAAATAATGTTTCCTCATAAAGCCTTCTTGCTTTATTCTTAAAGCACTTACTGGCAGAATTCTGTAACTTGGTCCGAAATTGAACAAATAGAATGAGGTCTTTGTTCTATTTAACCTTTCCAATGCCTTGCTTATTTGCCTTTCCCATCTAAACTTTTTAAAAGAGCTGACTGATTTAGACCAATGCCTCTCAAATCTAAGCATGCACTGAAGTCACCTGAAGGGTGCCAGCACAGGCGTTTCTGATTCAGCAAGTCTGCTATGAGGTGGTATGTCTAAAAGTCCTAGATGATGCTAATGCCTCTGGTCCAGTGGCTACCCTTTGAGAACTCTTATTTGGGGGAACCTTGTGACAGCATCAAAGTGTGTCAGCACCACTCTTCTTTCTACATCTCTCTCTCACCTGCTTAATGAGACCCCTAATACTCCGCAGAGATTCCAGTGTTCTTGCCACAGCACGCACATGGGGCAGGTCATCGCCTGTCGCCCTAACCCATGTCACACCAAATGGCCCCTCCAGCTCTGCTGGGCCTTTTGTGGTTTCCTGAAGATCTGCAATGCTGTTTCACTTGCTTGCAGTACCTATACCTCTTGTTTGCAGCACCAGTATCTCCCCAGCTAGAGAGCTCTAGCTGGAGTATTCTTCAAGTTGTTGTTTAACCTTCAAGATTCAATTCCCACTGCCGCCTCTCCTATCTGCTTTCTCTAACTCCCATTTCTGCCTGCTTTGCCTCCCCCCACTCTCCTTCTTGAACCTCTCCACATTTGCACACATGAAGTTAACTAATTTGTCTTCTAGCCTTCACATAACAGAGTATCTGCCTCCATTTCCACTCACCACATTACTTCGGATTTTTTTTTTTTCTGTCAACCACTCAACTCTTGTTGAGTTAATCCCCGAAACAGTGATTTCTTCTCCTCAACCTATATTCTCTTCTTTGCCCTGCTCCATCTAAAATCTACTCTCAGGCCCTTCCCTGCACAAATTCTTCCTTCCAACTAAAGTATATGCATTAAAATTTTACTCTACACTGAGGGCTTTGGAATTTAACCTCATTTCATGCCTAGGGAACACATTATAGGGGCAGATCCATATTTGAGCATGGGGTTCTCCACAGAAATCCTCCCTGCTCCAGCCAAATCCTCCCCACACCAGTCTTGCTGTGGATAGCACAGACAAACCCTGTGTCCAATGTGGGATCCCAGTGAAAAGACAAAAGGATTCGATGTTGCTTTTTTGGACCCATGTTTTTAGGACAAGGGCAATGTGTCTCTTTAGAAATGTGAATTCTTGGGGCTCTTCAAATACATGTTTAGTGAGATTAAAAAGAACATCTAAAATGTAGAACCTTGAAGTCAGCATTTTTACTCTCAGTGTGGAAGGTGCCAAAGCAATAACAACATTTAACAAAAGTCCAGAAATGTCCCCTCAGCTTAAGAGAATGAGTCCAAAAAAGCAACATCGAGTCCTTTTGTCTTTTCACTGGGATCCCACATTGGACACAGGGTTTGTCTGTGCTATCCACGGCAAGACTGGAGTGGGGAGGATTTGGCTGGAGCAGGGAGAATATAGGTTGGGGAGAAGAAATCACTATTTAGGTGAATAGCTCAACAAGAGACTGTGGTTGACAGAGGAAAACGCCATGACCTGTCCTAGGGGTATGAAGGCACCTGTGCTTTCTTCTAAAGTCCTCCAATTTCTGATGTGAAAACTGGCAATGATGACCGGCTCTTGCCTCTTTGATCTGGAGATACCCATTTTCTTCACACAGCGAGGGAGATATCCACTGCACAGCTACTGCCATTTTCTTCCTGGGACCCATTTCAACTCTCAAGTTCTATAACTTCACAATTCTTCAAGAGAAAAAAAAAAAAAAAACAGGAGGAATAAATATTAAGTATGTGCTAATTCTTTTTGATGAGCTGAATTTGGGGTGGTGATGAGGGTTTGTAGGGGGTTGCATGGGAATGATCATTTACACTCGTAGGATATTAGAAGTGGTAAGGATTTTATCTCTATTTTAATCCTGCAAGCTTGACATTGTATAAAATCGCTGCAAAAAAGTATGTGACTTCTCCAAGATCACTAAGTAGTGACTGTGTTTATTCTAGTTAGAAAACCTCCTGAACTCACTACCCTATGAGATTTCCATTAGAACTTTAACTGCAATTGGCTTAGAGCATTCTAAAGCTGAATGATGAAGTGGGGAGAGATAAGCAGGAATTCTAAACTACTTGGAAACTATCTGATCTTTAAACAACCAGGACCCCAATGCCCCGGGGATGGGAAAGGATATTGAGATCAATCGTTTTCTCTACTTTCATGGGACACATGTTGGGGGCAGCAGTGTCCCCGATCTAAAATCCACCAGGTGCCTCAGAGGGTTCTGCAGGTCTTTTTCCAAGATAGACCATCCCCTGGAGGTGGGAAACTTGTAATGACACCTTCTTTTACCTCACTCCCCGTTAGTATCACCTGGGGAATCCAGTCTAGGGGTGGAGGAACAGGGTCTGATGAAGGAATTGCAAAGTCTGGCTTTGAAAACAATTACCCTAATGTGACAGACAGATTCCCTCACCCCATTCCACAAAACCATCCTGCTTTAGAATGCTCTAAGCCAATTGCAATTAAAATTCTAATAGAAATCTCATAGGATAGTGAGTTCAGGAGGTTTTCTAACTAGAATAAACACAGCCACTACTTAGTGACCTTCGATAAGTTACATATACACACAGGTATAACTGGTGGCTATTTTGTCATGAGGCACTTCTATACCTGACTCTCCAAAGCCTACTGTCATAGCTGGGTGCTCTGCTGAGTCCACTACCCTGTGCTGCCTACTAGCAAACGGCAACCTGGCTTTTCAGATAGCATAGTTCAGAGTACCCACACATCTTGCCACCATACATGGGTGCCCCACCTTGCTTGACCTTCTCCTAGGGCCCCTGTAAGGCATTCAGAAACAGGAACATAGTTGTCCAGAGCTAATCATGAAGATGGCTGTATGGCTGTAATTGAAAGCTGTGGCGGGGGACCCTGAGTGGGCTCTTTGAAGTATCCTAGGCTCTGTGCTCAAAGGGCAGAAGGAGCCAGGGAGAAGGGCCAGGTGGGTAAGACACTTTGGCCCTCCTTTTCCTTCTTCACCCTTATTAGTCAAAGAAGTTCTCCAAAATAGCAAACTTTTCTTAAACCAGGACTCTGCATATGGGCCAGGGTACTGAGATATATCCAAAATATCAAGCGTTACCAGGTGCTTAATTTGCAATATGAGGAGAAGCTCCTTGGAATCTCATTTTCATGACATGAGAATCATGCTGGCATAGGTAAAAATTCATAAGAGGGAGAGGAGCTGGAGAAGCCCTTCTCACCGCACAGCTACTGAAGAGATCTCTTTGCCTGAGACAGGCCATAAGCACCTGGATCACTCCCAGGGCTGCAAGCTTATTCACCTCTGACTCACAGGATGACTGTGATTAAATTTCATTATCCATTCAGTCTCCAGGTCTAGAGGTTTCTGCCTTTAGGTAGGCCATAAGCTTCAGCTCCTCTAAAGGGTTTTTGACTAATGTGCACTGTCATTGAATCACAGTAGATTTTCACACATTCATAATTACTCCTCTGAAGCAGCACATATTCACTGTTATCTCTGGATAAGAGGAGCAGAGAGAACAACAATGTCATTTCACTCCTTTCTTCTAAGAGATGGATGCAATTTGTGACCTAGTTTTTTAAGTACCCTGAATTCCCTTGAGGCTGAAGAAAAGAACACGGCTTTGAAAGGCTGAAGTGAGGATCAAATGAGAAAATAAAATATGTTGCCATAGACCCCCCAGGACTCTCCCACACTAATGGGGGTGCTGCAGGGAAGTGGGGGGCTGCTTAATCACTGTGCTATGCCTAGTGACACACATGAAAACAGAAAAAAAATGTTGTGCATATAGGAGATAATGATGAATTCTGTTATTATACTGCCTAAATTTGTAATAGAATAGATCATTTTGATTTTCAATCTGCCCTGAGTTCCTTGTTAAGAGATGCCTAATTTATATGTCAGTTTTAAATTATGGATGCCAAGTACAGGGTAATAGCAAAATTGGGTTTTCAGAGGATGCATATACCCATTTAAGATTTGAGGGAAAAAAGGTTAAATAGCTACTCCTATGTTTAGGCTGAGCCAGGAATAAAACAGACAGGAAAACTGGTGTTCTGATGAGTGATCAAAGAAGCCCACATGATTGCGTCTATACCCATACTCACACCATTCAATATCCCCAATCTACATCTGAGTAACTGATTTTCCAAACATCTAAATGCTACAGGGCATTTCAGTATGGGGTCTATAGGCTCTCAGTAACCCCCTCTTCCCCATACATTCCCTCCCAAGCTAAGCTGCTTCTGTCAGTAGACATGGAAATTTTGCTATGTAACTGGGAATGTAGAAGGAAATTCTGGTTAGAGAAAGAGTGGCAAGGTAAAGATGGAGAGAGACAGAGGGGATGGTACAGAATCTTTGTCTACATTTCTTCTTCCATGAGAATGCATACTTTGACCTCATCATCCCAAATGCTAATATTTGCTGTTTTACAGTCAGGAGATATTACTAGCAGAAAGGAGATACTCTAGCAAGACCTATTCTTATATTTCCATTTTGCAGGAGGCCGAGAAGAAGGAAGTGATTCCAGAAAGATATCACCACTCCTCAGTTATGAAACCCAAGTGAGACCACCATAACCTGACTTCCAGCCTAGAGCTATCTCTGATTCAGTAAATCTCTTCGCAGCAGCATATACACTGGGAACCGGAATTCTCACAGGTAAGAAAATCCTTCAAGCTCCAAGTAAATGAAATAGAAAATATGCAAGTTCAATAAGTGACAGGATAATGAAGAAACAGTTGTATTCTGTCTATACTAACATAACTTAGCAGCTTTCCAAAGTGCTGGTGAAACGGTGGCAAGGTTCTGGAATAAAAAATGAATATTTTTACAAGACTAAAATATGTATGGCCTGAACTAAAAAACAGCACCCCAACTCCCATAAAAAAGAGGGAATTTCATACAAGGTGAGTAGGGTCAAAGTGGGGGTGAAATGACAGATTGTGCGGTCAACTACTTATTTCTACTTAAGGATGGCCTTACTACTCCCTCTCCAAAACCAAACCTGTTCAGTGTATCAGTAAAGCTAAATTGATCTGAGTTGCTATGGGAACACAGAAAGGAGTTCCTGGAAATGTAATAATAATTGCTGTCATCTAAAAGGGCAGTAACTTTCTACTTCAATATCCTCCCATATGTCTGCATTAAGCTGACATTAGCAAATGGGTGTCAAAAGTCATTTGCATGCTAATTGCTAAGAGGATAACTTGCAGTGTTGGGTGCTGCTCTGCTGAGCTGATCTGCTAAAGGAAAAGTTTTTCATTGTCTTTCTGGATTCAAATTATTTTTGCGTGGTATCGTTTGGCTGCCTGGGAGAGAATCCAAATGTTACCTCTCTCATGAGACACACATCTCAGGGCCCATGTAGGTCAGGGTAAGAGCATGTGATCAAAGTATAGAGCTTGGTTTCTTAAGCTTGACAAACATCTGACAAACATTGGAAACTTCATAAGCATCTTTACTTGGTGAAATGTTTGTGTTTTATAGGAGGTAGTAGGGAAATTGAGTGCTCATAATTTCAAGAGTCAAAGAATCAATGGAATCAGAATCACCAACCTGAAAGACGGCCTAAGGGAATCTGCTGGTTGGTCCCTTTCTACTCAGAGTGTGATCCTCTCATCAGCAGCACTGGCATAATCTGGAAGCTTTTCAGTGATGGAGAATCTCAGACCCTGCCCCAGACTTAATATATCAGAATCTACACTTTAGCAAGATCCCTAGGTGATTTGTTTGCACATTGAAGTTTGAGAAGCATTAGTGTGGTCTAACGCTTCTACAAGTAAGATGACTGAAGCCTGGAGAAGAGAAGTGACTTGCTAATGGTCTTGTTGAAGATTAATAATAGCACCAGAACAAAACTCCAGTGTCTCTGAGAGTAAGACTTCTGCCATTACTCCATGTAGCTTCTCAGAAGCTGTGGTTGGGGCAGGATGTTAGAAGTGGAATCCAAGAATTTCTGACTTTGTCCCTAGTTTTACGCCATCCCAAGCACTGTCCCTTTTCCAATTTCAAATTTGCACATAATGCTGGCCCTGGTAATGTGCTTAGTTTGGCCAATTTCAGTGCTAGTTTTGGGAGTGCTCCATTGTCCTGTGAAAGTAGCTGATGATAGAGTTCCATTCCAAACGAAAGAATAGATCTCTAGTCTTTGCCTTTCCTGTCTCCTCTTTCAAGGCCTCCAACACAGGCAATCAATAAGTCTTTGTGAATTACTCCAAAGAGGAATGTTTCTTCCATTTTCCAAAAGCTAGAAGCAAGGTCCTTTTCTGATAATTACAGGAATAAACAAGTGAGAACCAATAGGGAACCCAAAGAGGTATCAGATACTTCCTGCCTCCCCAGGGCTCACAAAGCAAAGCTCTCCCTAGGCTAGGGCAAGCCTGGGTCAGTGTTCCATGTTTCACATATGAATCAGTGTAGACTGTGATTGTTTTTGCCTCTCACTTAATACCCTCTACTCCACCTCACCCAAAAGATAAGAATGTTAGAAAGGGACATACATCCTGCTTCCAGATACAAGAGATGCCTGAGAACACAGTAATTTCCTGTAACTCTTAAAGCCTAGGATGAACTTGGCATGCCTCATTTCTACTATCCTACTTCTCACATAAATTTCTGTGTTGACTGTTCTAGGCCCATTAATCTTCACATTATTTTCTGAACACAATTCATTTAATTCCCAGTTTCTTATTTTTGTTCTAGCCATTTGTTTCTGATATCTACTGCTGCATGACAAATCACCCCCAAAACTTAGTGGCTTAACACAAGAATAGTTTTTATTATCTCTCATGATTTTATGAATTGACTGGGTGTCCAGCTGGACATTTCTTCTCTACATGGAGTCTGCTGGGCTGTAGTTATCTGGTGATGTCACTGTTGGGAACATTTAAGATGGCTCATTCACATGCTTTGGTGGAGATGATGAAGAGCTGGGTTCATCTGGGATGTTGATAGGGCTGAGTCTCTCTCTTTCTCTCTTAACTCGGCCTCTCTAGATGTTCTCTCTAGCAAGGTAGACTTCTTATATGGCAGCTTAGGGCTCCCAAAACCACAAAAGCATAGTTTCCACACCTTATTATGGCTTAAGTCCTGAAGAGGCACCATATTAACTCCACCATTATTGTTGGTTAAAGTGAGTCACAAGAGAAGCCCAGAGACTATCAACCACAGGATTCTCAAAAAGCCTGCAGGGAATTTCCTTCTTTTTGCTAATCATTGTCTCTTATCTGTTTCAAAACCAGGGGGGTTCTTAATCTAGAGTTCTGTAAGTACATTTCAAGAGAGTCTATCAATATCTAAAAATTGTCTTTTTACACATATTTTGAGTCATGATGCATATGTGCACTTTTCTAGGTAAAGGATCCCTAGAATTATTGTGCTAAACAATTCTAAAAATCAGATTCTCAAAGGGTGGGTCTATGATCCAAAGAAGGCTGCAACATTGGAATGAATGAATCATACCTGATTCTACATCCCATCTGCACAATAATTAGGTGTTGTTGTGGGTCTTTTGAAGATACATGGTATGTGCTTATAGTGTCTGCCACCAACTAGTTTTAAAATTCTGCTAAGGCAAGAGTCATATGTCTTCTTTATCTCTAGACTCCCTAGTTTTTAGCACTGTCTTTTAAATAATATTAATATATGCTGCATAATACATGTAGACTGATTTCCTATGAAGGGTTTATCTGGGTCTTTGTGTAAGAAGAACGTAGACACAATAACCATGACTGGCATCATTCTTACCATATATTGTCTCACCCCTTTCTGTTTAAAATGCTTTCATGTGTCTTATTTGATACTTATCTAATATGAGTCTATAAGGTCAGTAGAACAGATGTTATCATGATATTATTTTGTGCTAAGGAAACTGAAGTTTGCATAATCTCTCTCAAAGATTTAGAGCTAGTTTGAGAAGGAACTAGGGCTCCAATATTCCTGATTTCCACTGACCCTGGCTGTGTAGCATGAGCCACTGTGATGAGGAGGAGTGAGGACAGTGAGATAAATGTGAAAAACTAGAAGAGCAAAAAGAGTAAGAATTCAAGCTTTAGCATGCATCAGGATTACTTGGAGGGCCTGTTAAGCTACAGATTGTTGGCCCCACCAACAGAGTGTCTGACTCACTAGGTGGGGACAGATAATTTGCATTTTCAATAAATTCCTAGGTAATGCTGATGCTGCTGGTCTGGTCTAGGGACCACACTTTGAGAGCCACTGGTCTAATCTGTAGTCACACATGATAAGAGAAACTTCCCTGAGCCTTGTGCTTCCATTAATATGCATTCATTGATGATCCGAATATGGTTGTCACTCATTTCTGATCTGTATTTTTTACACTCAAAAGTGAGTAGTTAGAAACTCTCCCTCATCCAAAATGAACACATACCAGCACCCTTACATACCACCCTCTGCTCTGAAATGAAGGAGATCATACTAGTAGTCAGATACCACAAAAGTCCTCCACTTTTCATTGCCCTTAGAAATCTGCATAGGAGAGTCAAGAGGAAAGGTCCATAAAGGAAAAGTTAATAACGTGGATCTTCTAGAATGGGGAAATGAGTGTATGCGTCATCCACTTACCTCTGACAGGGAATAGTTAACTGCATCAGAATTTGAGAATTATGCTCATTGGGTTATTCGGATCTTAATAATAATATAACAGAATATATCAAGAGCTAATTTTTTTAAAATACATATTTACATGAAACTATTTTATTACCAGTTTTGCAGAAGAAGTGGGTCCTCTTTATTTCTTAATAAGCATATTTAGTTGCTCTCTTACAATCCTTCCAGAATCAGGTCTTGCACAATCCCCATCTTTGAATTCAAAAAAAATTCCTGAAAGACTTATTGACGCTGGTGAACTGATAAACTCTTCATTAATGAAAAGGAGAAATGAAATTGGCCCAGTGACATGGCATTATGGAAACCTTCCTTTTTAGCCTTAAGGTCATCTCGCAGAGCACAGAGCATACTTTGAGGGCAATTACTGTCCCTTGCCCCTTTAAGGGCTCAGACTGTCACAAGATTGTGGAAAGCATTTATCATTTGCATTGGGAAAGGTTAATGTATTCTTCCCAAATATAAGCTCCTGCTTATGCAAAAGCATGTCTCTCCTATTTGCCCTGCCAAAGCTCTGATCCAAGCTTGTATTTGAAAATTGATGGTCTCAGGTAGATATTAAAGGATTTCTAGGGCAGAACACGCTCTTGTTAATGCAATAGGGAGGAGTCTTATGTAGTCAAAATCATCTGGAATTGAATTGATCTTTATCAAATAGAACACTTAGATTCCTGTTAAATGTTCCTGTGTGGTTAGGGAAATGGCAGTTCTTCCAGATAATTATGCAGGCAAGAACTCTTTACTCTTTCAGTGGCAAGGACTGCCAGACCTGTATGATTGCTTGTTAACAGAACTGTCAGCCAGGTCAGGACGACTTATGGGCCTTTCCCTACGTAGGTCCACCACTAAGAGTCCAGGAATAGAAAGAAGGAATTTTTAAAAAGTCATCCTTTCCAGATGAGAAAACTGAGGCATGGTAAAAAGAGATGGTTTCAAATTGTCACAGTTACAATTTAAGATAGAGCCAGATACCCACAATTTCCATTAGTTGCTTCTGACAACAAAAATTTGAGAATGTGCTCATTTTAGAGCATGCAGTCAAATATACTCACTTAACAAAGTGGAAAACTAAGGTTTCACAGCACCTAAGACATACAGCTAGTTAGAAGCACAGTCTGGACAAGACATAGGTGTCTCGACTCTGAGTTCTTTGCTTAATCCATGCCTCTCTTTCTCTGGGCTTAAAATATTAGTTATGAGAAAGGTGATTTTGTAATCAAACAGATAATTTCATGGTGTGACTTAAAGAAGTGCTGGGTAAATCATTTGTTCCAAATATCTATCCTAGTTAGTTCGTTATTGGAGTTTTACTCTTTGGGTCTCAAAGCCTTTTGTTCTCAGTTTTTCTATGCCAAACCTCTGGGAGACCTAAGTCTTACCAACTTTCACCTTATATCATCGCTAATCATCAGTAAACAGCAAGACCCAAAAGGAACCACAATGGCACCTCTAAAGGGGCCCAACGACAGTCAAAATGAAAAAGAAAACAAATAGGTAGA